AATATCCGTATGATACTTCAGATAAGCAAATTCTAGACGTGAAGATTAATAAAAGTGCTAAGTAAGAAGTGATCATGGCATGTGGTGATTCCACTGTAATACCAAAGATTTCTAACCCGGAAAAAATTTTTGCTATTCCGGATGATATTCGGAATTATTTGATATGTAATTATGGAATTAGTCAACGGGCAATAATGTTCCTGTATCCTCCATCCCCGAACAAGTTTGCGTGCTTTTTGTTGTATTGTTCAATTAAGTTATTGCTTAGTATCTAACCTTATTATGGCAATGATTATTATTGTTTTTTCAATACCATTATCTGAAACTTTCCAATTTTCAAATTTGGATTTCATTTCATAGTTTAAGGTATCATTTTTAGTTTTTTCAACGCTTAATTTAGCTTTTTTTAAAATTCCGTCTGGAAATTTATAATTTATTTCAGAATTTTTATTGCCGAAAATGGTATATTACGGACAATTGTTATAAAGAAACAATTTTCGCAGTCAGAAAATTCTCTTCTGTCATGGGTAACAGTCAACAAGTTTGAATTTCTCTTCTCAGTGTAACAGTCTCTTCTTTTTGCTGCGAAACTGTTCTAATTTTTATGCGAACTGAAGTTCAGTGATTTTTCCAGTGGGAAAAAACTGAAAAAAATATTGAAAGATTAAACGAACTGGACAAGGCTACCGCAGTTACTGCTCCATCAAAGAAAAGTAATACAGCCAGTAATTCCGCATGGCATACTCTCACAGACGTAGAACGCCATATTTTACAAAAAGGTACAACCCGTGTCACTTAGAAAAAGGGAATGAAAAAACTGAAGTTTTTCTGAATAAGTATTTTTCCTCAAATATTTAGAGCATCGTCGTGCTGAAGCTTACAAAACTGCCCTATGTCAAGCATACAAAACTACCGGTACATGTGAATATGGTGATCGATGCCGTTTTGCTCACAGTAAAGAGGAATTGCGATTGCCTCCACAAGTAACCATTCCATTTTCAAACCCATTTTACAAGCTCTGTTTCGGTACCTTTCGTTTATGGTATAAAGCATAACATCTATAAAGAATATCGTCATTTCTGGTTTGTGCATCGAACATTTTATAATAATTTAAACAATTTCTTAAGCTATACTTAAGACTAGTGGTGCTTCACAATCATTCTTATGGTCATTTCACTACATGATAAGTTTCAGGCGCATCCAAAATACAAAACTCAGTTGTGCAGAAAGTTTGCGATATTGGGGATGTGTCCGTACGGTGCTAGATGTCAGTTCATCCATCAACGTCCATTTGAAAATGGCGATACAGTAGTTTGATTTTGTCGTTTCTGTCGTCATTTAAAGTCTTATTTCTTTATTTGCTTGCCACAGAGATGGATGTTTTTTTTTTCTTATTATTGTTAATCTCAGAAACTGAACGTTCAGAGATCACTTTTTTACAGTTTAGTTCATCATTCGGCGATGGATCGGTGCAAATGTAATTGCAGTGACGCACACTCTTATATGGATGCTACTTTTTTTTTATTAAGTATATAAGTATTCTTAATTATTAATTAAGACTGGAATGTGTGACAACGATTAAGTTTTGCTTCGCAGTTCTTTAATTTAAAAAGCGTTTTTTTCAGATTAAGCCAGAAACGGCAAACTGTCTTTTGGAAATGAGGCTTAAAAAAGTGAAGGCAAAAAATTTTGTCGTTAATGAATGATAAGGGAATTTAATCGACATCGTGTGTCATATTTGCCGGTATAGAACAAAACTGCGTTGCCGTTTTGTTTTCTTTTCTTCTATCTCTCTTAATTTTTTGAGCAGAATTGTCGTAATTCAAACGCATGAATTTCTTTTTACTTCCTTCGAGTCATCACAGCAGTTAGCTAAATTGATAAATAAATCATGTGTTATATAGTTACGATAATAATATCAATTAGGATTAATAATTGTGCTGGTCTTATATTACAAGAAATGACTTCTCTTTTCTATGAACGTTTAGTTTGTTGATACAGCATTATGAACTGGGCAACAAGCACGGAAAAAATTAGGCAAGGTTTTGTTTGGATGCTCTGTAGTCTATATTATGTGCTTGTTAATTAGAAGGAAATGTTCAAGAATAAATATTTTTCTGATTTTGGTTGTTTTTTGACAGCTTTTTGGTAGCTAGTCAAACCCGGTCAACAGTGGCTGGACGAAAATTGTTGGGAAGAGTACGGATGTCTTGATTCAGATTATATGCTCAGTGTCGTGAAGAAAAGAATAGAGCAAAGAGAAGCGCAGTACTCGGATGCGCCTTGATTGTTTACATTAGGCTTTTTATAGCAATGGCCGCCCTTCTAAGGGTTATTTTGTGTTTCTGACTGCTGTATGCAGCAGTTTCAGGGGAGTGTGTGATGATGTTTTTTCTGAGAGTTGTGGTGAGCGCTTAGCAAGTTTTTTTTTCATATGGATTCCAAATCAAGTTACAGTCATGAGAAGCATCGTCAATACTACAACTCAAAACTGTTGTTTAGTATTTATTAAATGGTTAGCGGAACAATAATTTTGAAATGTATCAATGCCTCTCATTTCAAAGCGGATACTCTAGAAACACAGTTGTTCTGGGAAGAGGATGCTTTAGCAGGATTTAATAAGCAACGAAAAAACACTGTAGACGACAAGGCGCTCTACAGTCAGACTATTACGGAAAAATCGCTGACGTGATACTAAAGTTAGGTATGGTGGAAGGCGAATCCAGTTAAGCAAATTTTTCTTGAAACTTTGTTTCACTAAAGTGACCTGTAGACATCTGTTGAATTCTGTCTACTATTTTTTTCACTTCAACGGTTCCTGATTTTTGTTTCATCAGATTTGATTAAAGTGAAAGCGACAAAGATTGGTGCATAGTTGCCAGTAACAAATCAACTTTGCCCCCCCCCCTCCTCCCAATATTTGAAATATTAGTCTTTAACTCAGAAAGTAAGTTTTTACCTGTCTCTCTTTTTTTTTCACAAATTTGTCTTCCACAGAGAAATAGCTTAATATTCCTAAAAAAGTGATCAGTTCTAGGAAGTAAGGTGGTTACAGTATGATATATTCGGAACACGCTGTTTTACATTATCGTGCAATAATATTTTTTCAAAAATTTTGAATATGATCTATTCATTATTTATTTACATTTTTTGCAAGGATTATCTCACTGCATCTCAAAAGGACTTTTGAACACTTCACAAACACTCGTCAAAGTTTGATTATTACTTTAAACTGATAAAAAATCAATATGGTCGTCTTGGTTTTCCTGAAAGTTGTTTCTGAAAGGTCGTCGTAGAAGTTTTTGAAAATACGTCTCTACTTGTCCCGCTTAAATCAGTCTTGACTAATGCTTTAATTTTTAATTGCCAGTCAAACGGTTTATCCGGAAGACGGTTATTCTTTAATAATTCATCTTTATCTGTAAAACATTCTGTTGTTTTGCAGAAATTTCTGAAAAATTCCTATTCAATTGTTTCACTGCTCAAAGCAGCACTAATTTCTTCTTTTACAATTGGAAAACAGTCGCCAAAAAAAAAAAAGAAAAATCATATTTATGCATTCTAATAAAAAAGCTTTGATAAAGAATTTAAATGCAATAAAATAAAGCGAAAATAAAATGAGAAGAAAGAAAAGACAATATGCTTCCTCTTTTCCAAATTTCATTCTGTTTAAAAAACATTGTTAAAGTAGGAAGGCCTAAAAAGTAAAAATTGTAGCTTCGGTAAGTGTTTGGCGCTGTGCAAAACAAATAAAAAATTGTCAGTGTATGAAAATTGATAAGTTTTGGAAAAGTATGAAAATAATTTGGCAATTAATATTGTTTAAAGTCGGATAGATAGAAAAATTTACTGTTGATTGTTATTCCTTTTATCTCCTCACTTTCTGATGTCTATTGATCTTTGAAAAAAAAAAAAAAAATTATTTGTAGCAATTGGCTGCAATAGAGACAGTTTGCTTTGGTGTAAAAGGTGTAATTGAAAAGGAAAATGACAACTAATAAAATGTAGTGGTACTTTGGTATGTTTATAACGTTTAATTCTTGTTCAAATGTTGGTTAAAAAACTTTTTCATTTGGCAGTACTGGCAAAAATGTTTTTGAACTACCAAGTTTTAGTAGCGTATTTCAGTAGCACTTTCTAAAGCAAAGTTCAAATTTTCTACAATAAACTTACACTTTTCTAGTTATTTGTTCTTAGAAACACTGAAGAGCATCAAAAACTGTTTTTAATGTATGTTTGTTTGTCAGTATTTAAAAATATTATCATTTTTTTTCAGCCTAATAGTTTTGGCAAGAAAGATTTTTTCAAAGTATTTTTTCATTAATTTTGGATAGTCAGATTTAAAGTGAGTTGTAGAAGCTTGTAAAAACTAAGAGTGATTCTAGTTTCAACAGATTTCTTTGTCATTCATCTTAAAATTACTAGTTTTTATGTTTGTGCATTGCTATATTTGTAGTTTTAGTACCATTTTTGCCATCTTTTGATTTTATTTTTCTTCTGTCTCCTAAAATTTACGAAATGACTGTGTCGAAATTGATGCTGAATGATAAATCAGCGATAATAACTGTAAGACAAAAACACGTTTTTTAAGTATGTTTCTTTTTTTTTTTTTTTTTTTTTTT